TTCAAAAAACCTTATACAAAAAAACCCAAATAAAACAATCAATAAATGGACAAAGGATCTAAACAACCACTTSACAGAATAAGAAATACAAATGGTCAACAAATATATGAAAAATGTTCAACATCTCTAGCAATTAGAGAAATGCAAATTAAAACTACATTGATTACATCTTACTCCAGTAAGAATGGCAATTATCAAGAATACAAGTAACAATAAATGTCAGCAAGGATATGGATGGAAAGGTACACTCAGACATTCTGATGGGACTGAATATTGGTTTAACCACTCTGGAAAGCAGTATGGAGATTCCTCAGAAAACATGGAATGGAACCACAATTAGACCTAGCTATTCTACTCCTCATTTTATATCCTAAGGACACAACCACATCAATGTTTATAGTAGTCCAACTCACAATAGCTACACTATGAAACCAACCTAAGTGCCCTTCAACAAATGAATGGATAAAGAAATGTGGTATATAAACACAAAAGAATATAACTCATCCTTAAGAAAGAATGAAATTATGACATTTGCCGGCAAATAGATGGAGCTTAAAAATATCATGGTCAGGGAAATAAGAAAATTCCAAAACAAAATCAAAGGCTAAATGTTCTAATATGCAGATACTAACTCACAATGGGGGATGAGGATAGAAGTTCACTGGAGTAGAAAAAGGGGAATGAAGGAAAAGGAGGAAGGATGAGAATAGGAAATACAGTAGAATGAACTTGAYATAACATTTCTATGTTCATTATTGAAACTCTACATCATGTACAACCACAATGTACATATAAAAAGTCAAAATACATTCTACTATCATGTATATCTAACAAGAACCAATAAAAACATTAAGAATATAACCTAGGGAGTCTTGCCCCAGAGTTTGTGCTCTGAACCACTATAATGTGATTCTCAAGACTTAACGTTTCTTCATCTTACACTTATACAATTGCCAACACTTTTTTTTCAAGCCCATCCCCAAGTCTCACTGAAGAGATACAAGAAATATAAAAATGACAAGTAATCCATAACAATACCAAAGATCAGAAAGTTCACCTCAAATATAGAGAGCTCCAATGTTCTTCAGTCAACCAGAGGGGTGTCCCTGCCTGCTCCTGGCTTACACTACTGAAGAAGAATTCTCCACTTACAATGAAGTGAATGCTGCCATTTTTTCCACTGACTTTTGTTGTTGTTATTGTTACCAGGGRTTGAAATCAGGGACACTTAACCACTGAGGCATATCCCCAGGTTTTTTWAAAATATTTTATTTAGACAAAGGGTCTCACTGAGTTKCTCAGGGACTTGCTAAATTACTGAGGCTGGTTTTGAACTCAAGATACTCCTGCCTCGGCCTGAGCCTCTGGGATTACAGGCATGTGCACCAAGCTCCTACCTACTCTTTTAAGTTACACTATCGAAACTAGGATTCTATCTACTTTCTTAGTTACTTCTGTATTTTATATAAACACTAGACAGCTTCTAATTGCTAAAGAAACATATACTGGTTTCATCTATGACCAGGAATGAGAACCACACAATGGTCTCAAACAGCATATAGTAATAAAGAAACAAAATTACGAGAGCAACATAAAATAAGGAAGAGAGATCCAAGATAACTAATGTCAAACAAAATGAGTTCCAGAAGGAGAGAAAAAACAGTGAAGTAATGAAGGACAAACAGGAAAAATATCCTATAAACTAAAAATAAAGATGTTACCAGGAGAAAGAGGTTCATCAAAGAGTAAACAATAACACTGAAAACAAAGAATATGCCTAGATACAAATCTTATAAATCTGCCACACACTGATTCAACTATAGCATAAAATAAATAATGCACACATTTATCATGTATATACATAAACATACATCATGATTTATAATATCAAATATATATAATGCATACAAATGTCACATGAAATATTTGAACACATGAAGTCAGAGCTGTAAACTAGAACAAGTCTCATGATAACACATGCAGACAGAGCAAGTGCCTCTCTACCTGTGGATTTTAAGAGCAACTTTTGCTTTCCAGAAATTTGCAACATATCAAGCTATTGCCTCAGGCAGAAGTCTGAATATAAAACAACATACTGTCAAAACATTCTCACTATCTCTAAAGTACTTTCTTCTGAATGCCTAGTGGAAGTCTACATAGACACACACGATAATACAGGATTATCTCATGTATATAAGAGTTAACATAGCAGGATTGAAAAAGGAAACTAAGAAAGTAGAGGCTGTTTGTAGGGTTGGCTTTTGGCTAGTAAACATTTCCCTACACAGATGGATCTCCCCCGCCACACACCATCATAAAACTGTTTCCCAGTTGAGGCTCTGAACACCTGTCTGTCTTCTCAGAGGCTTGATTTTTTTATAGTTGGTAGGCACAGAATGCCTAGGCACCTGATTAGTTCCTAATTAACACTGGCTACTGAGATTCTACTGCATCTMTGGGCAGAAACATGGCACATGTTACTGGACTTTCACTACTGAAGAAAGGAGAAGGCTCCATGCAATCCCTCAGTGAAGGAGACTGTAGGGATCTTTTACAAAGATTACTCCTATCACCTTCCTATGCCTCTTTACCCTTGATGATCCTATTGTTTATCTTTCACCTCACCTATGACACAACTATATGCTGTGTCCCTTACATCATTGTAAGGAATCAACTAACGTGCAGAGACTCCCCCAACAGCTTGTAAACTAAAATCCTCCAATTAAAATCAGAAAGTTTAGAAAAAAAGAAACAAGTCTAGAAAAAATGAAAATGATAAAAATCAATACAATACAGAAATTTTATATTATAAGAAACAGTATCTAAAATAGATGATAATGATTAAAATCTATAGCAGGTATCTTCAAAACKTTTTGTCTTATGTTCTCTTCACATTTTTAAAAATTACTGAGGATCACAAAAAAACTTTCATTTGGGTTATATGTATCAATATATACAGTACTAGAAATTAAAATAGAAACTTTAAAAATATATACTCATTAAAAGTGAAAATAAATCCACTAGATAACATAAAAACATTTTAGGACAATATCTTTTCAAAAACAGAGAGAAAATAGTATTGTTTTATGTCTTGCCATTTTTTAAAGGCCTGGTTTCATAAAATTCCACTATATTCTTAAATTTGTTTCTGCATTCAAGTTGATATATGAACATAAAAATATTTTCTTATACAGGTATATAATTGGAAAAAAGCAACCTTTTCAGGTAACCATGAATGTTCTTTTTTTGACATCACACATACTCACCAAATGGGGGATTTCTTAAAAATTTGTTGGATGGTATAATCTGAAACCATATTAATGAAGTATCCATCCATTAATTTCTAGTAATTTGAATGAGTATTTTCTGCCCATGCAGGGTTTTGTAACATTATGTTCAAGCAATTCAAACACTATTGGTTCACTATATACAAAGCTTCCAAATACTAACCAATTCCATTAAAAGAAGTCAAAAGAAGTAAAACTCAGCTGTCTTCACATATGAGGAAGCTTTCAAGCTCATGATGGTAGGGACATGGTTTCTAAAATTCTTAAAAAGTTAACTGTTATCACTATTAACAATGAGGACCAAGATATCTGTTGTTGTTACACTAAAAATGGTTCTACATGAAAAAAGTGATGTGTATCTCTTATAATTACATAGGAGTTTTTCTTAAGAGAACATCATACTATAGTATTAAGATATACATACAAAAAGTGAAGAAACATTTATTTAAGAAAATGTAAAGTCAGAACAGTAATCATATGAAGCAAGTATTTGGGCCAAGAACTATTCCCTTTCTGCCCCTCAGCACAGCAGAAGAGATGATGATTCCATGCCAACTGGTATAGAGGAGAACACAGGGCTCTCTCTGACCCTAGCTCCCAGTTGTAGGATTATCTCCATGAAAGGCAGAAGCTGGCTCCATTTCTCAGGGCTCAAGGTGAGGCACAATATCATAGTGGAAGAGTGTGGCAGAGAGAAGCAGCTCACATGATGATCAGGAAGGAGAGAGGAAAAAGACTCCACTATCCAGGTACAAAATATATACCCAAAAGCTACACCCCCACTGCCCACCTCCTCCAGCCACAYACTACCCTCCTTCATTTACCAATCAGTTAATCCCCATCAGGAGATTAACCCACTGATTAGATTAAGGCTCTTGCAGCCCAATCATTTCTCCTCTACACCATCTTGTATTGTTGCACATATAAGCTTTTGGGGAACACTTTATATCCAAAACATAACACTACTATAACACATAACCACAAATTTAATTGCTTAAATAGCACACTTATTATCTCATAGTTCTATAAAGCAGAAATCCAAACTGAGTCTTTCTAAGCTAAAATCAAGTGCATTCCTCCTTTCTTAATTCTGTGTATTAACAATCAAACTTTTAGGAAAGGAATATACAATGTGCTACCTAATACTTATTTAGTAAATGGCAGTGTACTAGTAATCATGATACTTAGAATTTAAGAGTGGTACACAATAAATCATCATCATCAGAAAACATGATTTATACAGCCCCTACTTTCATTAAAAAACTTAAATGTATATACATCATGACATTCTCCTTTAAAAAAAAACCAAGCCCCATTAACTATTCTGTGCCCCAACCACATCAAACTACACAAAGTAAAATAAGCATGGCAGATTCATTTTAATTAAAAAAGACCAAAATAGCAWTTTCCCTTTAAAACAATACTGTTAAAATATTTAAGTATTTTAAAACATTAAGGAATATTAAGCCAGGTTGGTGGTGCATGCCTATAATCCACCAGCTCAGGAGGCTGAGGCAAGAGGATCACAAATTCCAGGTAAGCCTCAGCAACACAGTGAGGCCCTGAGTCACTTAGTGAAACCTTGTCTCAAAATTAAAAATAAATAAATAAAAGGCCTGGAATGTACCTTAATGGTAGACTGACTCTAGGTTCAACTCTCAGTACCAAAAAGAAAAAATAAATAAATGATATACAATTAAATTCATTTCTTACCATATACAAGATATTTTAGTTGAAGATTTTTAACAATTTCTTCCACAGTAGGTTTATACTCAAGAAAACATGTGTAAACTCCACTCATAGCCTCCTCGAAGTTCTGGAATATAAGGCTTCCTGTGGATGTTACTTGTGCAGTGCTGTTTTCTAATAAAGCAATAAGATATAGTTGCTTAAATTACATAAGACAGGAAAAATACAAAACAGTTATTAAGCAGAATCAAACCACCAAAATTTATCTACACAGTTATTAAAAGGAGTTGGGAGTAGAGCTAAACATTGCTTCAGGTACTTGTTTACAGTGGGTGCCAGGCTGACCTTCTTAGTTTCAGATTTTCACTAATCAAAGTTCATCAACTGTGTGATTAAGACACTAACAATGTAATGAACATAATGAGTTCATAATTCACCCCTTACATTGAGCAGAGCACTATCAGAAATATAGTATATATAGATACACATATACATTAAATGTATATACATATACATGAATTATATCTATTATATACAGAATAAATATATAATGTTATTTTATATAGTACATATCTATATATACTATAAAATACTACATATTTTAAATGATGAATTATTTCTGACTTCAATAAGCTTACAAACTGTGTATGAAATCAATAAAACAATAGAAGAAAAGCTAACAAAATATTATCATTAATAAATATTTCTGTCACTACACAGAGTGTAAAGAAAAAATTGGGTTATAACCTTGAGGGATGAAAAAGAAACATATAGAATATTAGATCATCTGACTTGCCCAAGTCACAGAACAACAGAGGTGCAGTAYTGGGAGTTAGAATAGGACATAAACTCCCATTTTGTTTCAACATATCTTATGAAGTATCACATAAGAAAAAAGCTATTATTGTAAAACGGAAAATAAATAAACRTGACTTTGAGGTATTAAGCCCTGGCTTTGAAGTCTACTTGTTATTATTGTTAACTACTTAATCTTGYTAACTACTTAATCTTTCTGAAGTACAACTCCTTCATTTGTACAATGAAGAATCATGATATTTGACAGTCTACATAGAATTGTTATATGTAACAATTATAATACATATGAAGGTATCTGCAAAGTCTATACATTATCATTTCAAGTAATATTTTATTCTGAAAGTTTATAACTACACTTTTGTATCAGAAACATTCTAGGTATTAAAATTTACCTAATAATTTAATATTRCATTTATTAGAATTATCTCAGGAAATGGATGTCTACCTTTTCCTATTTTAAGTAAATGATTAAATACTTGTAAATTTTAAGTTAAAAAATTCTTCAAACTAAGACAAAGATGAGTATTCTTAATGTTGAAATTTTCATTATTAATTAATTTTATAAATACTGATTGAGTTTTTAGTACATGCTAAGCCTTGCTTCAGATATTGAAGGAGAAATGATGGATATACCCACCCTCAAGCAATTTACATAGACCAATATGCCTTGAGAACTCCCATTTCTATATTCTGGATGTAGCTGAAAAATGTGATATAAATTTAGAATACATTTCTGTTGTAATGCTTTTTTTCATGAATATCTTTTAATAAAAAATTACATATTAATGTTAACATGTTAACTCTTCTAAAATAGATTACAGAGCTTGCAAGTGTTTGATATCTATTTCAACAGACCAATCACCTCACATTAATACAACAGAAAGTGCCTGTAAATTTTAAAGAAATCATCAATGAGGTCATATATTTCTTGGCAATAATTTGAAATGAAAGTTTGCCACACAAAAAGTATCAACAAATGTATCAAAATATTGATTTAAATATCTACTACAAATGTTAAATATTATGAGTTAYAGAAAACTAAGTAGCATTAAAACTATAATAAAATGCCATCTGACTATTAAAAAATTAAAAATTGCTCTTTCAAAAGATATCCAGAGAATGTCATATTCTATAGAAGGACTCATTCTATAATATTGCTTGTTATTTATCATTTCATAGACCTTTAAGTGACTAAGTCTAAATGGAAATTCATGAACCCAAGTGCTATGTACTTGACACTGATAAGATAAGACAGTTTAAGAACATATGCAGCAACAGATATTCAATATTAATGTTTCATTAGTTAGTAATTCTTCCTTTCTAGTTTATATAAAAATTCAGAGTTGAACTAGATCTCTAGAAGTCCATGCCTTAAAGCTCTAAAATTAACAAGATTTAAGCTAACTTAATTATAGCTAATTATTTTTGAAATAGGTTTATACTTCYGATTTCAGCTCAGAAAAGGAAAATGAATGTAACAGTACAAACCCATCATTACAATAAGGAAAGACCAAGGAAAAGCTGCCAATTAACAGTTTTTCTTGATTTATAAAGAAATTGAGGTGGTAGGGCATATCTGAGAATAGATAGGGCTTAAAAGCAGAACAAAGATCTGAGCATTTTTTTTCAGCTGCTACATAAATTGTGGTTATGGTTTAGATCCAAAATGACTCCACAAAGCTCATGCATTGAGGAGTTGGTCCCCAATGCAGCAGGGTTCAGAAATGGGGTCTTGGGAAGATGACTAGATCATTATAACTTTGACCTCAATGAATTAATTTATTTTTGATTCACAGCTTAATGGATTTGGGGGTGAAAGGGCTAACTTTGGTTATTAAGTGACACTCAGCTTCATAGCTGCCATGAGATGTACAGCTTTGTTTCACCACATGTCCTGGCCATGATGCCCTACCTCACCAAAGGCCTACAAACAGGCCAACTGATTATGAATTGAAACCTCCAACACTGTGAGTCAAAATAAGTCCTTCCTCCTTTTAAGTGTCTGTGTCAGGCATTTTGTCATAGCCACAGAAATTTGACTAACATGGTAAGAAGATTCAGCCAAAATTTTTTGATGAGTTATTAAAAGCCAAGTGAAGACCAATATAAGAAAATGAACCCTCAAGGGATCACACACTAGAAAATTGTGCAATGTTATAAGTTTTTCATTCACAAACTCCTCCTGTGCAAACAGAAAGATCAAAGGAAACAAGCTTTCTACAGGAGCTGGCTAGAAGAATGTAGGTTTTGCCAAAACTCTACCCACACACACTTTCCCCCACACCTCCTAATGGAATAAAGCTTTTAAATACAGAGAGAAACAAAACTGTTACCTACAGTGCTAGAGAAACTTGTTGCAGCTCAAGAAACAGGAAGTAGGGAAAAATGTTTCAGCCTTGGCAAAAAGTCAGGAAGAAGTGCTAGGTCAGAATTACAGTTGGAGGAGGACCCAGAGCAATCATGAAGGCTAAATTCCCAAGAAACTGAGATCTTATGCTTGTCAAAGATTAAAACTGAATCAATTCAGAGAATGTCCATCTTTCTGAATTATCAATCACTAATAAACATTTAATTTTTTTTAAAAAA